TCAGGGTCCGTCCGTCCCCAAGCCACACCCCCCCACCACCACCCAATGCCTGCCCACTCACACATCAGATTGACCCCAGTGCCAATAAAAATGTGACCTTGTTATATCCCTGGATTTTGTATTTGAAAGTGTGAACAGAATTGTACACAACCAGTACACAAGAAGCGAGGACACGGCTGGTTATAATTAAGACTGTTTATTGCATATTAAAACAGACCGACATCAATGTTCTGTCTTGGTACAAACCTATTAAACAGGAACTTTAAAACTGTACATCAAGCAGCCAACAGAAAGGCAGCACCAAACATGGTGCCTCTGGGGGTGGACACAGAGCTAGTTGTGCTCCCTCTGCTGGTCAGATGAGGAAGAGGAGATATTGGATAGGTGGAGGAAAGAGGAAGCCGGTGTGACCCAATAAGATTTCTCTATTCTTGGCCTGCAAAATTGAAGACAACTAACTGAAGAAACTTTCAACTATTGCTCTCAATTGAGGCTTTGAGGGGTCACAGCACCATATTTACCACAGCAGGACTTGAAAGCCCACTTCAAGGCCAACTCCTCCCTAAACAAGTTGTGGCAAGTTAAAATTCAAACCCTGTCTTCAGACCGCCCACCCTCCACGATGGACCCCCATAATGTAAAAGACAGACATCAAAGCAACACCTTCAATATGGCCTTCGGAGAGGAAGCAGCGATGCCAGGTGATCCAAGAGTCCAAGATGCCAGCAGAGAACCCACCAGAGCCCATCCAAGAAAATCTGAGTGGAGACAAGCTTCAAGAAGCTGGAGAGTAACAACTGAGTCGTCAGATAACCAGGTAATTGATCCTCAGCTCCTCCCCTCAGTATGAAATTAAACTTTAACATAACAAATAAAGGAGGACAAAACACATTAAAAACAACAGACTATATATAACGCAGTGTATGAAGCGCGGGGGCGCTGTACACGGTGTGCAGTCATTTAGGAGGCCGCCTCTTGGAGATCTGCTGGCTGGCCTGTTCCTCCACATTCAGTGCCATGAGCAAGGACGACACGTTTTCTGTGAAGGGAAACAACGAATGAGGCAAATCTTCAATCAAAAAAAAAAAACACAACTATTTGCCTTATTCAGCAAAGCATGACGTCATAAAACGCGGTTCTAAAAACCTTCCAGCAGACGCGACGAATGGCTTCCAAGCGGTCAGTGGGCTTTAAAGGAGAACTATGAGGGGGGGAGGGAGGTGCTTTTCACTCACCTCATAGTTCTAGCCGACCTGTGACAATGAGACCGTCACAGGTCGGCTCAGTAGATCGGGAGGTGAGGGAACACATCCCGGGGTTCGCTCACCTCTCGATCCTGTCACGTCTCTCTGCTGAGACAGGGGAGGGGCTGGATTCCCCCCCCCCCTCCGATCCGCCAGCACTGACTGGCGGAACGGACGGGGGAGGGGGCGGGGACCGCTGGCTCTGCCTCTAGATAGGCCGAGCCAGCTGTCACTCACGCAGCTGGGCGGATCCCGACATCGATGTCGGGATCAGGTCCGGAGTCTCAGTATACCGCGAGCTGTAGCTCCCTATATACTGAGCTTAGGGTGACGGGAGGACGCTAGTTTGTGTCCTCCCGTTACCCTAAGGAGAACTATGGGGAAAAGCCCTGACCCCATAGTGCTCCTTTAACCCCTTACCGCCAGTCCTGCAGAGGTTTTTTTTCTCATCTTGGAGGCCAGTAGGCGAGCTCCTGATAATGTGATCACTGTGATTGGTTGTCATACCGTCCTACTGGCTCCTGATCCTCATCAGTGAGCAGTCATTCAATGTGCTGGGAAACACCAAGTGAATGCGCTCCCAAGCACAGCATCTCAGCCTTCTGCATATATGTAGCAGTCTGGCGTTAAAAGCCCACCAAACATCTTCCAACTAATGTCAACCAACAATCGGTGTCTGGTTCAGTTGCAACTGGCAAACCCTTCAAGATCGGGTCCTCCAAGCAGAACATCCAAGGAAGGAGACACCTGACCACAAACAGATCCCAGCTTTCCAGTAAGAGGTCAGAGAGGGAGAATGAGCACCTACCGCCTAATGAAATGAAGGTCCGGGAGCTCTCCTGGATGAGATATTGCACCTGAATCGCAAAACTCTCCATGTCGTAGTCTGGCCGCTCCGTCATCTCCAGCAGATTGGCCCATTCCGTGGCCCGTTCCGGAGCTTTCTGTAATGAGAGCTCAGCATTAACCACGGAGATCTCCACCCCCCGTGAACGATCGAGCTCTCCACCCCCTCCTGA